CATCAAAGCGACCAACATGAATTTGACCCAACTCCGGGAGGCAGTGGAAGACAGGAGGGCCTGGCGTGCTCTGGTCCATGGGGTCACAAAGAGTCGGACACGACTAAACAACAACAAATGTCAGGGTTAACAACGCAGTTAGGCATACAGAGTGCTAGTACTTGGCTGCAGAGCCAGGAGTGGGGATTTTGGTTCTCCCACTGTGCCTTGGAGGAGGAGGAGCTTGATCTTGGGCAAACTACAAGTTCCTAGGATGCCTCCAGGGGAAGAGAACCAGTGAATGATTTCTGAGTATGTATTATTGAAGGCTTTCATAGCTGGGATCTGAGTACTCTATATTTAGAGACTCCTGGTAAAGGTCACCATAACTGACACCTATTACTATTTACCATGTACTTTTATTCTCGTGTGGACGTTCCAACAAAACATCACTCTAGGGAGCTAAAACATTCTGTCCTAGTGCATGAAAGTTAAAAAAACATTGCATATAAATGAGGAAATTAAACAGAACCAGTCTGAGAGCAAGCAAATGCAAAATTAACAAAGACTGAGAATAGACTGAACTTGCTAGAAAAAAGCATTCATAGTGTGTGTGTTTGTGTGACACAATTCTGTTTGATACATTTATTGTAGGCACATGTCTAAACATGTAAAATGTGAGTAACAAATAGCGTTCTGGCAGCTTAAAGACTAGCTGGTCTAACAAGTTTTATTTGACGTAACCTGTGAATTGCAGCCCACTTTGTCAGATACAGCTGATGGGAAGGGTTGCGGTCTGTAGTGAGCTCATGTGAAATAAAAGTTGTTAATCTTTAAGATGTGGGTATAACAAGAATATTTGTTGGTTTTGCTGCAACAGAATAACACAGCTGCTCATCTAGAAAATCTGTGTAAGATATAAATATGGCAACTGCTTGTGTCAGCCACAAAATTACCGGTATCATGTAATATGTACAGTAACCCTAATTAAACAGGTTCGTTCTACAGGCTGTTGTTGACCCCTCTTGGACTAGTCAACAAGTCCTGTTCTTTTTCTGTTGTCTTTCTGCATTCCTTTAGGCTGCGTTCTTTCCTCTGTGCTACATATTTCTATTAAACCTCATATTATTGGTGGGCCAATCTGCGGTACTGCATGGAAGATCAGATGTTCAGAGAAAGAAAGAAGGAACAAATGAATGAATGAGCTTAAAAGTAGTTGCTTAGAGACCCTGGATTGGGCGGAGGCAGTGCTGCTAGGGAAAGACTTGGATTAACTATGCCTTCTGCTCTGTTTTCCCTTCACACACTCACCCCTTTAGCCTTATTGTTGAAAGAAAAGTTAAGAACTGTCACTGCCCTTGTCTGTCTTGCCCAGCAGGACTAAGAATAGCTTAGGGGTGTATGGTTTTGACTTGTAAACCACCATGAGAAGAAAAGGATTAAGCCACTCCGATCCAGTTATTCCAGTAGTTCGTCCATTTGTTTCATTATAAAGTATCATTGGGTTTTCTTTTATTTCTGCATGGTTTACTAGGGAGCAGACTCTGGAAGGGAGAGAGAAAGTGCGGAACATACCTGTTAATGAATAAACAGCTAATGACTAAAACTTTGTCTGTAGTGACTCTTGGGGGAATGAAGTAATTAACTGACCTGGTATGAACAAGAGAGAGTAGTAAAAGAACCTTCAGTACCCAAATAAACTTTTCAGAAGTTCGCTATAGAAAAGAAAAAGGAAACTGTGCACTGTGAGAAGGTCAATAACAAAAGTGGACGGCACAGATTTGATTTGGCTTTCAAACTGGTCTTATTTTCTTGTCTCCTATCCCTTTTTGTTTTCTGGGTGTGCCAGCAAACTCAGGAGAGAAGTGTGTCTTGCATTGTTCTGAGTTTAGAAGCAAGTAGAAGCAATGTGAAATACCCCAAAGCTCAGAGGGATGAGAACTGATTGATTTAATGTTGTGACCAGCTTTGGAGTAACTGTTTTGTTTGCCACATGTTTTCCTTTGAGGCTGTGCTCTGAGAAACTCTTGGAGTAGAATGCCTATTTCAAAACTCCATATAACAAGACTTCTCCTTTCCTCTCCCACAGCTGAGGAAGAAAACTTTTTTTTAAAGTTGCAGTGAATTATGATGACCTATAGAATGGATCCAGATGTAAAAATACTTAGAGTAATCCTGTTGCTTGCTACAGGTCTGCTCTAATTAAGCCTAGATGCAGCCCATTTTTCAATCTCTTCGCTTAATTTGTTCCCAAAGGTTACACTGAAGAGTATGAAAGTATTCATAGCTCTGGCCACTTGAAAACTTGGTTTGGTGTTTTTGTTTGTTTGTTGTTGCTACTGTTTTGAGATGTGGAAAGAAAATGTTTT